TCTCTCCCCCCCCTCTTTCTCACCCTTTCTCACTCGCTCTCTCCATCTCTCCCTACCGCTCTTTCTTACCCTCTCTTTTACTCCAGCCGCCACCGAGCCGGGTAAACCCCTCGTGTGTCAGTCCGCACCGAGATTCCGGCGCGAATCGTCCTTTCCCGTCGTGGCGTCACGCCAAGTTCTAGATGGATGTCGCTGATCCGCATTATTGTGTCAGCGATTTACGTCGTCGCGCAGGTGCTCCTCGCTCGTCCATCCCTCGTGGAAGGTCAGTGATGATGAAGTTCGTCGTATGCTAACACTGAGAGTAATTGCTGTCTGCTTATGTTTGAAAGGGGCACGTTCTGTGCGTGGATAGGGTTGTACGTGACTTATTCTGGTTTATACAGCGCTGTGAATCAATTCCGCAAAGTTTGTTTCCGACTACTCCGGCGAAGTTAATGTTAATTACATCGTAAAATTGCCACAAGATATGTTGCGATATTTCGCGCTGTAGCGCAATACGTCTTTTCACATTTGCAACTTGTAGTGCTCTTAGATATTTTCCGCATATGTAGGTGACGTAAGTTTGTATTAAAGTTATAAACGCGAACGTGTGCAAAAGATAATATAAGAAACAAATAAATGCGGTGGGTGAGTTATCATTAGAACTTGGTTCGGTTTGAATGAGCGTTTGTTGTATATCTGTTTTATTCGGAAACATATTCTTGATGCGTGTTCATTAAACTATGCCCTTTTATATTGATAAGAAATTATAAACGATATAAATCTTAATAATATTATATGATTATATTTCGAACAGCTTGTCTTTAAATTTAAAAATTTACTTAAAAAAAAAAGAAAAGGAAAAGCATCTTTTTTCAAACAGAGTTTACTCGACTGTTTCAATCAATTTGATTTCATAAATTTACAATAAAATATGATTTTCTGAGTTAAACAGTCCTTGAGATTGATGCTTAATATATCGCATAACGAACATTTTACTTATAGTAGATACATATAGATACATGTAGATATATCGATATTATTTTTGAAATCCAATATTGGCAAACAGGTTGATACGTCATTTTGTAGTGCCGTGATTATATAATTCTGGGATTTGAGTTGACCGGTAACTTTCGGCAGTTTGCGTGCTGTAGGATTTCAGCATTAATTTAATGACATGCCGTAACATGCCGCGATGCAAGTAAAGTAACGACGCGTCATGCACGATAAACTGTACATGATAGGTACACGCGACATTTTTATTTTATTTGTATAATCCGCTTCTACCAAGAAAAAGCGACTTTACAGCGCGCGTATTGTAAGTTTTCCAACTATTAACTGAACACACTTGAATGAAATTTACCAATAACTTACAAACATCTCTGCAGATATTAAATAATATTTTTTTCATTTCAATAAGCGCTATTATTGTGTTCGAATTTTTTTTTTAAATTCTGCAGTTACTATGTTTTACATATTTTAAGTTAAATTTACGAGTTGCCACGAATTAGATTGCCTATCAAACTGAATTTCCTATTAACGTAGATTGCTCCATTATCAAGCAGCGTGTCGGTTTTATGCAGATAAAAATGTGCAAAGTATCGCATACGTCTGCGATAACGTTATCATGAGAAATTTAATTTCTCCTTCATGTTTCTTTCTCGGTTCTACTTTTCCTCCAGCTTTCGGAATCAAGATAAAATTCTTCAGGTAGAGTCCGGCACAAAGAACACGCAAAAACTTCCCTTGATTTATCTACGATCGCGTTTTCAACGAAACTCGAGATTATGGTCGATGTACACATTGGGGGTATGGTGGATACCCTTACCAACCCGATTGGCCGAGCCCTCGATTCTTCTTGCCGCGGCGCGCGATTATCCCCCAATATCCTGATACATTATTTATCCCCATCTATAAAACCTCAGAGTTTTCATGAAGGCGAGAAACCTTCCCTAGCAGGGAATTTTTTTCCCAATCCCTGGCACGATCCTTACCCGCCGACAATAACGAACGGACGAGACGACGAGTGCGAGTGAAGCTTTTCTACCTTCCTCATCGTCCTTTTTCTCTTCGCTCACTTCGCTCCCTTTTCTCGAGCTCGCGTTCCACCTACCGAAAGCCTTCCCACATTGACTGCCAAAAAAGCCTTGGCAACGGCACGACACTCATTTAATTTAAGGATAACAAAGCGCTATCCGAGACAAATCCCGGGATTAGTTTTACGGCGTTCCTATTTACACTTCAGTCAGAGGATCACTGTGTTTCACATTTCTCTATACGTATATTTTCACCGCGACGCAACGTTTCTGTATAATATATACTGAATAAATAGAACGTTTTCCTGCAAAATCATCAAGCGACATTGTAATTTAGATTGTATGTAAAATTTATGCCGTACACTCTGACTGTTTATAAACTAAAAATTACTTTTTTGTGTGGTACAGTCAACACAATCTCAAAAATCGAATAAATAATAGAAAATTAGCAATCATTACTATACCAATTAATTATTAGCCATTGCTATTGTTTTATGTAAAAAATCAATTAAGTATCAAAATATTCTAATTAAAGTATATTTCGATATACATAGTATTTTATATACAAAAATTAAATTTAACAGACTCTCTCTCTCTCTCTCTCTCTCTCTCTCTAATCTTAATTTGAAGAGAAAACTATTGCATAAGTTTCACATATATATGTTAATGAGTAATTCAATATGATTTTTTAATCAGTATTAAGAGAAATCTAGTTAAGAAAATAGTAATTTTAGACTTTAGTTAGTTTGGAGGGCGTTTTCTAATTAAATGTTAGAAAAAAAAACGGTTTAATTTAATTTCTTCTGACGGAGAAAAGTAAATGTCAAATAAATAATTTTTAATATACATATAGCACATTACATAAATTAAGAAATTATTATATTTAAATATATAATCATTGATTTTTAGATATTAAATGAGATATTGAATATATAGTCATTGATTTTTAGATATTAAAAGTGTCTCGGGATGTCTTACAGAAATTATCTCTGATATTGTTGAAATTACTGTATAGTACACGTCAATAATACGTACAGACCATGAATCACATTCCATGTGCTTCGATCTTACGCGTACCCAAATTAGATTGGCCATGATTGACTCATTCGAACCAATGCGCACCATTGTTCGCTGCATGCCATTGTATGCACGTTGTATGGTGCGGAGCGGTCATTAATATACAACGCTACAAGACGTCATTCAGAGATGAAAATTAGATGAAAGATTTACCGAGATATTGGTTCAACAGATTGTTATTAAGACGTATTATGATGCTAGAGCAAAATGTAATATTAGTTATTATTAAATTAGTAAAATTAGCTTTTCTGGATTCGAAATTCTACTTTAAACGATCTATAATTTACATCAGATTTTAGAAAATTTTATTTATAATTTTATATGCTGTATTTTTATACGTGCACGTAATTATATATATATATATATATATCTTGATTTTACACGGTACATTATAAATAGAATTAATAATAAATGATAATATAGAAACAATGAAAATATCCGTTTCAGTAATGCAAATTTTATATTAATAAATTGTAGATAGATATAAGTATTATTAATATTTAAAATGTTTTTAGTAATATCAGGTTTTTATAGTAATTAATTAACATGATAAATGCATAATGGGGGAATAATTATTAATTAATAATAAAGTAAATTTATAATTGTTCTTTTAATAATAATTAAAAATATATATATAATATTTATATAAAAGTATTTGTGCCGCTATATAGAATAAATTTATACACGATACTAATTTAATATCGTGAGATATAAATTTTAAGCAACCAAATGTATTACAGCAAATATATCTAACAATAATGGTCAGTATCTCAAAACTAAATTTAATTAGAAATCGAACGAAAATCTATCTCTCTGAAATAACTAAATATTTGTCGTTTGTATTATATAACATATTGATCACGCGCTCCACAGAATGTTTAGGGAAGAAATGTGACATCTGGACATGTGCACAAAATATCGATATGAAGTAAACGAGCGACCAGTTGCATTTTAGTTTATAGAACAAATTGTACATAACGCGAGAATAGATCGGTGTAAATATTTGTCGCTATTTTTGTTCATTAGAGAGGTGCAGGTATCGATACCTTAAGTAGTCGAGACAGACGTACGGTCGGTCTTCGTTAACCGTGAGATAGGACCCGAGCGTTGCATCGAGGGAACAATTCCCTCCGCCGTCTCTCGCGCGCACTCATGATTTCACGGGGTCCTCTTTATTTCGGATATATACCGTGGACAAATGCGACTAACGTATCGAACTTCCGTCCCGGCTAATTTATGGCGTTGGGATTAGGGGAGTAAAATAGGTAGGGAGAGGCCGGAAAATGGCAATTCTGCAGTGCGGGTAACTATCCCCTTTTGCCTCCTCCTTATTTCTCGACCTAGCTCGCCCGAATGGGTTCAAACGCTTAAGAGGCAAGCGTCTCTCTCTCTCTCTCTCTCTCTCTCTCTCTCTCTCTCTCTCTCTCTCTCTCAGCCATAGTGAAATATCACTGCTAAGAGAAAGAAACGGTTACCCCCTCCGGGGGTTGACAAAAACAGAGGTAATAAAACTTGGGAACGTCCCTGTGTACCTCCGACCGAACTGGGAGGATACGTTCGAACGATTACCTTTCCGGTTACATACCTATATATGCGTCTGAACCTCTTCGGACTGCCGTTTTCAAACGAGATAAAAGAACAGTAGAAAACGATATATATTTGTGCATTAAGCGCGGTGTACAGAGAACAAATACTCGAGGGGAAAGTTGCATCAATGAGCATTACCGTGGTTTCCAATAAACTTGGAGAGAGCACGACGTGATAAAATGCATGTTTTCAATTTATATGAAAGAAGCATAAGCTTCTAACGGTGCAGCGCTAGAAGGATTATGCAGTTTCGTTACACTCACTAACATTAACAGATTAAAAAAAAAATGCAGATCTCACATTTCGAGGACGTATCGTGTCCTTAAAGTTTACGCAACTTCGCAATTTGAAATTTATTTTTGTGCTACTGTTATTACATGCTACATTTACTAATTGGACGTTGAACAAAGCATCATTTATCAGAAATTACCCTTACTTTATGCCCGGAGAAACAGAAGAGTTAAGCTGAATCATGGGCAATTAATCATGCTTATTTGGTGTAATATGGGTCACCGCGTCTTTCGAGCACAGCGCACATTATCCTATTTCCATAAATAAAAACATCGTTATAATGATTACGTAT